CATCTGGCTGAAATGATCTTTGTCAGAATACACTTTGAGGGTTTGTTTTTATCTTGTGGGTAATTGTAATTTGCTACCAATGGGCACTTCTGTTTTTTCCCGGAGTCTCCTGTATTGCACAACCATCTCCTGCCACCTTTCCTTTTTGTTATTCCTCTCGGAAAACTCGCCTAATAAACTCCCCCCTTCATGGTGCAACACCACAAACCCTGCCAAAACCCCAGTTCAATGTTACCCTCTGAAAAACTGTGCATTTATGTTGCAAACCAAATAATTTCCAGCATTTGCAATAAAATGTCATGTGATTTTGTTTTACAGATTGTGCGAAAACAAAAATACAGCATAAACCAGCTGAGGCGCAAGTAATTGATCATATAAGAAAACAAAGATCCACAGTTTCTCCTACTCCATTTTTCTTTTTGATATTTGTTTCCAGTTTATCAGGAAGTAATGATTATGTTCTCTTTGATTCATTGGATGGAAGCTGTGCTTATTCACAAATGTTTTATGCAATATTCCAGTTTTGCACAGAAGTCTTATTTGCATCTTTGGGTGGAAATATTACTAATGGCTGTTTTTCCCCCAATATTATTCAGTATATCTTACTTTGTGTTCAACAGAAGAAAGAAAATCAGTTTGAACAAGTGGAGGATGTGAGTAAATCATTAATGGATGAACTTTCCCTTTTATTCCAGTTATATTCCACTAAGATGGCTTGACTCTTCTCTTGCTATTAGTGGAATTGTCTAGTTTTTCTTTCATTACAGTTTTGCACAATCCAATTGCAATATTTTCACAATGTTGACTGATGTTCTGCAACTTAAACTTTATTTTCTTCTCTCACGATATCTACAAATAAACAGCCATATAATATTTAAAGAATGATCATGTCACATATTTGAAGTCAGAGTTATTAGCCCTCCTGAATTATTAGCCCCCGTAAATTTTTTCCCCCAATTTTTGTTCAAAGAAGAGATTTTTTTTCTGCACACTAATTTCTAATAGCTGATTTATTTTATCTTTGCCATAATGACAGCAAATAAAATTTTTCAAGACACTTCTATACAGCTTAAAGTGACATTTAAAGGCTTAACTAGCTTAATTAGGTTAACTAGGCAGGTTAGAGTAATTAGGCAAGTTATTGTATAAAGATGGTTTGTTCTGTAGACTATTGAAAAATATAGCTTAAAGGGGCTAATAATTTTTACCTTAAAATGTTTTTTTTTAAATCAGCTTTTATTCTAGTTGAAATCAAACAAATAAATACTTTCTCGAAAAGAAAAAATATCAGATATACTGTGAACATTTCCTTGCTCTGTTAAACATCTATTGGGAAATTTTTAAAAAAGGAAAAAAAAAATCAAAGAGGGGCTAATGATTCTGATTTCAGCTGTATGGTGTAAACTGTAAACAAAAAACTGACCATCAGACATTTAACAGCATATAAATGCTTTAAAAAGTTACTGGATGAAATGTTGAAAGAGTTGGTACTGATTAGTTTCATGCTTGCTTTTTTGTTTTCAGGCATTGAATGAGCAAATCAGTGAAGAAGAAACAATCATGGCTTTGGATCAACTTTAAAATGTGCTTTTCAATATTATTATACAAATGAAATTAAATGTGGTTTGTATTTGTAACCAAGAGAAATGGCACCAAACTGGCACTTATAATAAATGTGAATCTTTTTTTTTAAACATAAAACTTAAGTTAGAGGAAGTAAATAACAAACTCAATGTAAATAATGGAAATCACAACAGAAAAAAATTATCATTTCATAATTATATCTTTTTTTAAAAACATCTCACAAACACTAATGTGACTAATGTGTATATACCTTTATAAACGCTCTTCATGTGTGTGAGAAGCTGAAAATATGCATCCCCCTCTGTGTGTTAAAATGATAGATAGATAGATAGATAGATAGATAGATAGATAGATAGATAGATAGATAGATAGATAGATAGATAGATAGATAGATAGATAGATAGATAGATAGATAGATAGATAGATAGATAGATTGATTGATTGATTGATTGATTGATTGATTGATTGATTGATTGATTGATTGATTGATTGATTGTATGAGGCTTGTAGTAAACCAAGTGTAGTAAGCAGGTTGTTATTTTCTCCAGAAGATGGCGTCTGTTTGACCTGTGTGTTGACATTTAATTTCATCTGTCTGTTTCACTTCAGATAATTTGCAACATTGTGCAGTTTTATATGACTATGATTGTTTATGGTAATGTTTGTCTTTTTTTTTTAAGCCGCTGGTTGTCATCCCAGAAAAAAAATGTCATGAGTTGATATGTATGCGAGTGTGGCTGAAGGGTGACATTTTAATTATTAGATAAGACAAAAAATCCTCTATCCTCATTTCAGCACATCGGGAAGACTAAAGTGTATTTGTGGGCCTGATTTGACCTTCATATTCAGTGACTGTCCAATGTTCCTCCCTGTTGCTCTTCTTTGACTTTGTTCTTTGAAAATGCCTCTGGACAAGGAGCAGAACTTGTTTAAATTCCTAAACCAAAGTCACATGATGAAATACATGCTTGATATAAAAAAGAGGTTATTACCATTTTAGCTAGAAGATTAATGAATATTCTTCTAAAACCTAGTGCATAAACTTTTAAAACATATTGAGTGATATATAGTCTGCTTTATGTGGAATTGCTTAAATGGATTGTATGACAGTGAACTGGATAAATACAGGAAAATAGTTTTGGTCATATTGCAGTTATTCAATGGGTCATTCTTGGTTTGGCTTTCTAGCCGGTTCTCGTGTAATCATAGAGAGAAAATTCTAAAAGGCAAAGCATATGTGGGACCTTAAGGATTTTTTTTGGAGAAAAGTGGACAAGAAACTCATGAAAAACAACAAACAAAAAACTGTGGGTCATCTGGGTAAAAACACAAGATGTAGTTGAACAGAGTAATTTTAATATAAATTCAGCTATTTCCTCTTCGATTATAATATTTTTTTTGTGAAATATCTTATTTAGGTCAGTTCAAATAAAAAAAACATGCATTATATACATTTAGTGCAATAAAATAATCAGTTAATTAGTACTATATATACTGTGTATACACTCACTGGCCACTTTATTAGGTACACCTTACTAGTACCGGGTTGAACTCCCTTTTGCCCTCAGAACTGCCTTAATCCTCCTTGGCATAGATTTAACAAGGTACTGGAATTATTCCTTAGAGATTTTGGTCCATATTGATATAATAGGATCACACAGTTGCTGCAGCTTTGTCAGCTGCACATCCATGATGTGAATCTCCCATTCCACTACATCCCAAAAGTGCTCTATTGGATTAAAGGATGGATAAAGGGATGGACATGGTCAGCAATAATACTCAGGTAGGCTGTGGCGTTGACTTGATGCTCAGTTGGTACTAATGGGCCCAAAGTGTGCCAAGAAAATATCCCCCACACCATTACACCACCAGCACCAGCCTGAACCATTAATACAAGGGAGGATAGATCCATGCTTTCATGTTGTTGATGCCAAATTCTAACCCTACAATCTGAATGTTGCAGCAGATATCAAGACTCGTCAGATCAGGCAACGTTTCAATGTCCAATCTTTTGTCGTGCAATTTTGGTGAGCCTGTGAAAATTGTAGCCTCAGTTTCCTGTTCTTAGCTGACAGGAGTGGCACCTGGTGTGGTCTTCTGCTACTGTAGCCCATCTGTCTCACGGTTGGACATGTTCTGCATTCAGAGAGGCTCTTCTACCTACCTCAATTGTATATTTGAGTTACTGTTGCCTTCCCATCAGCTGGAACCAGTCTGGCCATTCTCCTCTGACCTCTGGCATCACAAGACATTTGTGCCCACAGAACTGCTTCTCACTGGATATTTAATCATTTTTGGATCATTCTCTGTAAAAACTAGAGATAGTTGTGTGTGAATATTGTAGTAGATCAGCAGTTTCTGTAATACTCAGGCCAGCCTGGCACCAATAACCATGCCACGTTTAAAGTCACTTAAATCACCTTTCTTCCACATTCTGATGCAGGATTTGAACTGCAGCTCGTCTTGACCATGTCTACATACCTAAATGCATGGAGTTGCTGCCATGTGATTGGCTGATTAGAAATTTGCGTTAACAAGTACTTGAATAGGTGTACCTAATAAAGTGACCGATGACAAGTGTATAGCACAGATTGTATAATACTGAATGTTTGTGTTTAGCACTTGCATGCAAAAAAATAAAGTCAAGTCAAGCACTAGTCAAAGACAGAATTTTTAAAAAGGCTTGTTACGGTCAAAGTCATGAAACTTCAGTCAATGATGGATTAATTCTACCTTTATACAGTCGGGCTCAACTACATTTTTTTATTTTATGTAGTTTGCCTGCCTCATGTTTTCAACAGCTGGTTTCACACCCATTAAAAACAAATTTTAACAATTTTTAGTTGTTGTGTGTAAAAAATTCCAACTGTTTAGTGTTGAGCTGCTTGTGTTTGCTGTTTTGCAACACAAGTGGCCTATATAACAGCGCACAGTGGATTTAGTGAGTGAAAGAACTGCTTAATTGTGCATAAAGAGTGCATGAAATTTGCAATTTGTGGCTAAGAGAATCTGGATTTGTTTAAAGTTTTGCTGGAAGGATTTAGAAAACTTGTCTAGGTCATTTAAAATTTGATTCACACAACGGGCTTTTTGTGTAAAAACTGTAAGCTGGTTGTGCACTTTCACTCCGAGCCGCACGAGGTCGGTATTCTTATTTACATGAGCTCAAAATTTCCGCTTTCTCATTTTGACAACTGTCATGGCTGCCGTATTACCGTAATACACAAAACACACAAGAAATCAGAATGCCGTTAAAATTCACCTTTACTGATAAAGTACTATAAACGTATCTGCTACACCATAAATTGTAAACTATTGTAAGAAATACCTTACATGAATGTGCACAGTTGCGTTTTGGTGGTCAAATATATTCAGGGTTGTTGAACAAAATATAAGGCGCTCTATTTGAGTGTTTACGGTGAAACACTTGCGGCTGTGATGAGTGCAGTGCGAGTGTGTGCAGCGCCCCTGGCCTCGAATGAACACACTGGATCATCAGCAGCAGCTTTTCATTGAGGGGAATCGCAGAAACAAGGGGGCTGTCAGAGACTTCAGGAGCGGGGGCCAAAGAAAACCCAGGCGGGCAAGTGTGCGTAGGAAAGAAGGCAATTCCTGTTGAGGCAGAGATGACGGAGGTTAGCGAGATATTGATGTCGGTTCTGTCCGCGATTCGGGTTCCGAGGCCCGGGGATCGTGTTCACAAAGACGAGTGCGCTTTCTCCTTCTCCAGCCCGGTGAGTCCAGCGACCGCACACTCATCTTCACTCCGGGCATTTTTGTTTGCATAAGGCTGCTGAATTAGTTTTGTTTTCGTAAAGCCGAATGTTGGCTAACTCTCGCTCATTCAGTTGATAAGTTTGCACTATTTTCCCTTCATTATGTCAGGCGAGTCATCACCGCACTGTTGACTCTGCACTCTTTGGGTCACACCCCGAATAAACCATTCATTTACCTTCCTGCAACTTTTAAATAACCACTTCAGCTATCTGAGAGCTAATTATAAGGCTAAACCCCAGCTATATGCTGGTTTGTCTTCTTGAGAAGTCCGTATCATGCGCGTGAATGTTGTTTTGTTGTGCGCGCGCGCGAGACAGGCTCGCTGAGCGCGTGTTGCTGACCCACGGTGTTTTGCTAAAACAACTCTTTTCAATTGTTTTAGGAGAGTGAGGGGGGCTTGTATGTCTGCATGAACAGCTTTCTCGGATTTGGGAGTAAATACGTGGACCGACACCATGCCAAAACTGGTCAGAGAGCTTACCTGCACATCACCCGGACCCGGAAAACACAGGTAAGCTTAAAAAGGAAAGACAATGCGAATCCTCATTTGTGCAAACATTGTTTAAGTAAATGTTCGTAACTATTTAAAGCTACCATAAAGTCAACAAACGGAGTTGTATAATATTGGTGTCAGACAGGTTTCCTGAACACTCCTCCAGATTTCATTGGCTAGCTAAACAGATATTTCCGCCCCAAACACATGCCATTGGTTCAGGCAGAATTGTTGTTTTAGATTGGGCAGGGCAAATGAAACATCAGTTCAAGTGTATGGCTGTTTCTCAATTCCAAGAACACAGAAAACGGACTTCTTGTGGAGACCGGTCTTGCCCAAGTGGTGCTCGCTGCAGAGCCATTTGGGCAAGCTGAGCTCCAGCGAGGGGGAGCTTGAGCTTGAGCTCCACCTTTTTTGCACTTCTTCTACGAGTGATGTCACTGGGGGTGGGGTTAGGCGTGGGGTTGGTGTACGCATTAAAACAGCTTACAGGAGGCAGAGCGAGAGCTCATGCTCCCCCTCGCTGGAGCTCAGCTCAGCTCTGCTCAAATGGCTCTGCAGCGAGCACCCTCTCGTCTTGCCAGGTCACCTCAGAAGAACGAACTCTCGAGACCGAGAAAACACAGAATGTGTCCTATGAGAAATGAGATGCTGCGTTCTTCCTGATGCTGGTCACTAAAGGATGCTGTTCGTCCCACCTCCTTTATTCAGCTGCAATGACTTCTGGGACTTCTCAAGCGAGTTTTCCACTCAAGTCTGCATCGATGCATCCTTGATATCAAGAATACATCCGGGAACATTTACGCATGCTCTGTTCTTGCGGTCTTGAGTTTTAGAAGTGAACTTTGGCAGTTGATGATGACGTTACATGAGGACACAGGAACGCATATTGAGAAACAGTCTATCTGTCTGTGGACTGCAAGTAGTAGAGGCGTATTTTGCAGTTATCCCATTGAACCATACGAGATGTTGTTGGCAAGATGGTGGAAATACTTTCCAGAGATTTTCAGCAGAAGTTTTCATGCGTTTTCTCCAAATTTATTCATAACCTAATCATTTGATATAATAATTCATTTAGCAACTCCAAATTTATTCATAACCTAATCATTTGATATAATAATTCATTTAGCAACTCAACTCGCTGACTTCATCCGTTTTCTTATGACAGTTAACCTACTTGGTGTTGCTCCCTGATGTTACTAACAGTACAATGGTGAGCCCATCAAAAGCAATTATGAATGCTTTGCAACTCACAGCTTTACTTGCACAGTGGAGTAGGTGTATACATAATGAGTGTGATGGTTGGGTTTAGGTATGGAGAAGTTGTAGACTTTAATAACTGTGTCAATTGTGGGCTGCTCGATTATGGGAAAAATCATAATCATGATTATTTTGGTCATAATTGTAATCAACTGATAATCGTTTTGAATAATCGTGAAGTCAAAATTATTCGCCCTTCTGTGAATTTTTTTTATATATAAATATTTCCCAAATGATGTTTAACAGAGGAATTTTTCACAATATTTCCTATAATATTTTTTCTTCTGGAGAAAGGGTTATTTGTTTTATTTTGGCTAGAATAAAAGCAGGTTTAAATATTTTAAACATATTTTAATAGCTCAATATTATTAGCCCCTTTAAGAAATATATATTTTTGATTGTTTGCAGAAGAAACTACTGTTATAAAATGACTTAAATAATTACACTAATTAAGCCTTTGAATAGCACTTTAAGATGAATTCTAGTATCTCGAATAATATCTAGTAAAATATAATGTGCTGTCATCATAGCAAAGATAAAATAAATGAGTGATTAAATCTGTCATGTTTAAACTGTGCTTGAAGCATCTTCACTGTAAGAAAAAAACTTCAGCTACAAAAGTCCTTCAGTCAAGGGCAGTGAGGGATTTTCTCCTTTTTTGTTTGATTAATAATAGAAACAGGCCACAGCAGGAATATTGCACTGTCACTTTAAGAATAGTGCAGCTCTGATATGGTTTCTCTTTCACATGTCTTTAGATTCTCAACTTGTTTGTTTACTACACAAATGAGGGTTAATATGAATAATCACTAAACACCGCGCTCTGACACAAATATACATGTATTTAACCATTAAAGCGCTCACATTAAGATGATGTTAGATGTATGTGCCCTGCTCGTCTCCGAGCCAGTCCGAGGCTAAGCGCGCCCCCCACACACACAGAGCATGTGCTCTTTTGCGATTTTAAAAAATATGAATGATGGGCATCCCGTGCTGCAAATGTTACATTATAGTACATGCTTTTAGTCATTTTCACGTGGAACTGAGCTTTGATGAGCAACAAATGTGCACAACTGGAAAGGGGGCGGTATATGATATAATCGTTTGTCTCGATGGTTTTTTATAGATGTTAGAAGCCAAAATCGAAATCGAAACCAGATTCTCAATGAATTCCACAGCTCTAAACAGTTTACCAGGTTTAGGATTGGGGTAGGTGTAGGTGTTGACCTTAATAACTTTTATAGGTACAGCACCATCTTGCCGACAGCATAGTTTTGACGTGGGTTTGGATAACTGCAAGTTACACCTCTACCACAAGTTACGCCCCCTTCATGTTACACCTCTGTCTTGTAGTCTGCAGACAGATAATACGCCATCATTTCGGGAGTGTTTACATGGTACCATTTAAAAAAAAAATGTTATAGAGATTTTGCTATTCATACAATTTTTTTCACAGCATTTTTTAGGAAAGTTATACCACGGTTGTCTGTGTAAAATATGTAAATGTAAATTTGCCGCATTCTATGAACTAAACATGTATTGCATTTGCAAGTACTTTTCAAAAGTGTGCAGTGTTTCCATACAAATATACAAAGTGATATTGCCGTCAACAACATTAATCTATGGACAGAACTTTTGAGTAATACGAAGGAAACTTCATTTTATCATTTCTCTCTCTGTTCTTCTGGCAAACATATACTAACCTTATCTGTCTTTCAGAAGGAGGATGATCCCAATTCAGGATCAGGTGATCCTCCTAAAAAGAAGCCCACAAGACTGGCCATTGGTAGGCACCTGTGTTCTTTTGCCTTTGAAGTCTTTGCTTCATATTTTTGTACATGCTAATTTTAACTGAGAGTCTGTTTAATTTACGAAACAAAAAAGGCTGTAAGGTTTGTATGTGTTTCCTGCAGGTATTGAGGGAGGGTTCGATGTTGAGCAGGAGCAGTATGAAGAAGAGGTCAAGGTGGTTCTTTTCCCAGACCGACAGGAAGTGACACTGGATGATCTCTCCTCCATGCCAGATGTTGTTCGGGAGCGGGTGGGTATCTTTTACTATACTGAATTACTTAACGAACATTAGGATAGTGTGTTGATAATTTGCTTATTAAAATTATATAGGTCTGTAGATATATAGATAGAGAGAGAGAGAGTTTTTTTTTTGTTTGTTTTACATACTTGTAGTTTGATAAAGTGCTGGGTGATTAATTTAAAGCAATCCTTCATGTGCATTTGGTCAGTAAAGCCAGTTCTAGTAAATCACCTGCATGTGCTTTCATATGGAGCAGCATTTACTACAAAGAGCTGATGTTCACTGACAATTCATTCTGATTCTGTAGTCATATGATTATTAGTCACCTCGAATCCAATTACGTTTAAGATCCAAAAGTGCTCAAAGTTGTATTTTCGTGTGAGGATTATCCGACTGGACGAAACATGTAAATGTAATGAACAGTGTTTGCACAAAGAGCTTATTATTTGCAATCTTCGAAAAGCCTATGGGAAAAATCCTATGGGGATTTTCACGAGGGAACCAGTCTTATGCTAGCAGCCGATTAGCCTACAAAGTGACTTCATAGTTCCTCCACTCAATTGTTTGTTACGCTTTGTTATTGTTTGTAATATGTTGATGTTGACAGGACAAAAACATCTCCGCACATCCCAGTAGATATCATGTCATCCTTAAATACAGTCTCTATTCTTTCAGTGCTTATAACAGCGTCCTCTGGTTACAGTTGAAACAGCTGTAAAGAAGATTGTGCCAATTTTTGCCTCTGTGAAGTAGCTGAAGCAAACTAAAAATGATGGGTTCTAATTGTAATAAGAGCTTAAGAGACTATAGGAATGAGATTTAGTTGCTGATTTAAAATATGTCATTTAATTGAGAGTTCAGCTCAGTTTTTTCGAGGTTTCAGGATTCCCCCATTCATTTAGATGGGTCTTTGGATTTTGGATGAACTGCTCGGAGTCAGGGGCGTTACAATTTTATTATATTGTCTAATATATTATTATATTAGTTATATTGCCTGACTAATGAACAAACATTTCATGAAAGGCACTTTGATACTGCAAAGCAAGTATCAAGTTCTTTGTGGGTGTTTGGAGTTTCCCTGTGATAGCAATCTGGCCTTCGGAAGAGTTAAACTACTGATCACACAACCGTGTTTTCCTTACTAAATGTGCAAGACAATCGCAGTTTTGCTTAATTGTATTTGTAATTTACTTTTGATGAATCGCCCAGCCCTGGTTTGATATAAATTGATTTCTGATTTTATTGTACTACACTCCTATATATTTTATTGTATTATGTTAAATGTGTGTATATGTATGTCATGTAAATAGACAACAGTTTTATTTAGAGGTGTGCTCTACTGATTTATTTGAAAAAGTATTACCTAAATTTAAGTTTTCATTTTAAGTTGTTGTCTAGTGTTAATCTGAAGTAATAATATATAACATTTGGTTAAATCTATTCCTTTGTAATTCATTGTTGTTTGTTCTGAATAAGCCGTGTTGGCATAGTGTTAAAAGTGAATAAACAAAATAAACGGCATAATTGTGTGAATGCTGAGTTTTCTAACAGAGCAGGCTCTTATTGTCGTTGTGACGGTCTGTTTGTTTTGTGCAGGTGTCTCTGTCAGTGGCGGAGCTTCAGGCAGCAGACTCAGTGTCACACACTCTGCAGGTGCAGCAGTGGGACGGAGAAGTGCGACAGGAGTCAAAACATGCTGCTGAACTTAAACAACTCGACAATGGCCTCAAAATCCCGCCAAGGTATAAACACAGTGATCTTGTGGATGCATATAATTTCTGCTAAGGGTGTAATGGTACATATTAATGTACTGAAAACTTTCAATTTTCTTATTGTTTGGTGTGGATGTTTACAAATATAATGTAGTTTTAACATTTGATATAGATAAATCTATATCATTCAGTTTCAATATCAAACAACAAACTGGAGTAGAAACATACTTTCACAAGGAGATTTAGACATTGTGTTGTCTGTCTTTTGTGCAGTTTGCATACTTAAAAAATTGTTATTATATCTAAACAACAGCATTTGACATATTAGTTTTGACCTCTGTTGTTAGATGTAACCTTTCATTTTAAAGTAATAGGTCATCCTACTGTATATAGTTTACACTATTAGCTAAGATGGATTTTTTTGTGTTCTTAAGAATATTTGAATAGAATATTTAGAGAATATTTAAGAAATATTAGTTTGAACCCAGATTAACACACATTTTTAGGAGCAAATTAAAAATTCCATCTTCCATTAGGCATATTTTACTGTTCTGTAATACCTCTCCTGCCTAAACCTTTACAAATTTTCAACTTAGTTCACACTATTTTGTAACATTTTTAAGAAAAAAAATGTTAAACATGATATTTAGTTTTATATAGCCATAGATCCTGACATAATGTTAAGTATTAAAAAAATAACAAAAATATACTCAATTTTGACTTCAAAATCAAGTTGTGAACCAAACCATCAAATATGTACACCTCTAACATGGACAGGTAAGCTTTGAGAACATGATCCCAGAGTAAGTAACAGAAGGTGACTGTTTGCTCTTTCAGTGGCTGGAAGTGTGAGGTCTGTGAGCTGCAGGAGAACCTGTGGATGAATCTGACGGACGGGAAAGTTTTGTGTGGCCGGAGATATTTTGATGGCTCTGGGGGGAATAACCATGCCCTCCTGTACTACCAGCAGACTGGATACCCACTAGCTGTTAAACTCGGCACAATAACACCTGACGGAGCAGGTCAGATTCTCACACCACATCTACAGGAATCAAATTCAGTTGTGTTTGTTTAATATTGAGTCAATAAAGTTATGTGTGCGTTACTGTTTATGGCCATTAAGGTTTTAATTTAGGTCTTTAAGTCTTTAGATTTAAGATATATTGCAAAATATTGTTCTTTTTAAATGAATTTTCCAAGGGGTAGTTTACCCAAATATGAAAATTGACATCTTTTAATCAACCTCCACTCTTTTCTAATGTATTTGAGTTTTTTCTGTTGAAAAAAAAAATACTGCTCAAAAAAATGAAGGGAATACTTAAACAACACAATGCAACTCCAAGTGTTTGCTTTTTTTCAGCAGTCAATGTTTTGAAAAGATAACTTAAAGAATGCTGGGAAGTGGCAGCCATTGACTTCTGTAGTTTTCTTGTTCCTACAACGTTTTGTCTTCTAAAATATATTGTTCTGTTCAACAGAAGAAATAAATTCATAAAAGTACAACTACAACTACAAATTGAATGAGAGCAAAAAGCAAGGATTTTATTGGGTGAATTATCCTTTAAATGTAATGTTTTCTGTTAGAAATAAATGTTTTAAAATGTCTTTTATTCCAGTGAGGGCAGTTCGGAATTTTCAGCATCATTTCTCCAGACTTCAGTTTCATGTGATCCTTCTGAAATGACTTGATTGTACTTATTACTTAAGAACCATCCTTATTTTCAGGGATGAAAAATATATATTTTTTGTAAACAGATACATTTAAAAATTGTTTGAATAGAAAATAAAAAGCTACCTTTATTTTAAATAAATTTTATGAAATGTAATTTGTCACATATGGTCATAAACAGTATGATATGCTGTGAAATGTTTACAAAACCACTCTTGACCTTAAAATAATAGCAACAACAATAATAATAATAAAAATAATAGTGATAACAATAAGAATATGAATTTTGGAGAAATAGAATTTATGCAATCGAAAATAACAGCAAATATGAAATATTTAAAGACTTAAGATATAGACCATGTGGTTGTAGAAACATAAGTGTTTCTAGGAAAGTGTCTGGTGCATAAGATTGTGTCCTATAGGTGGTTTGCCACATTGGTTGTAACATTGTTTAAGACCTTACTATTTCTTTTGATCAATTGAATGCATCTTTGCGTAAATGTTTAAAAAACATGTTTTTTTTTGCAGATGTCTATTCATATGATGAAGATGATATGGTATTAGATTCTAAGCTCCCAGAACACCTTTCCCATTTTGGCATTGATATGATGACTATGGAAAAGGTACAGTCATATTAAAAAAAAAAATCATACATTCTTTTTAAGTGAGTGAGAAGGTGTTGTTAAAGTGTGTCTGTCCCCATCTGTTAGACGGAGAGAACCATGACTGAGCTGGAGATCGCAGTTAACCAGCGTGTGGGAGAGTGGGAGGTCATCCAGGAGTCCGGCACCACTCTGAGGCCCCTGTGGGGTCCGGGACTCACCGGCATGAAGAACCTGGGAAACAGCTGCTACCTCAACTCTGTCATGCAAGTGCTCTTCACCATCCCAGACTTCCAGACCAAGTAAGTGTTTCTCTGAGTGTTATAAGACTGTGTGATTTTTAACTTCTTTTATTTACTATTTAAAAATTCGTTAAAAATGTATGGCAAAAGTTACCAAAATTATATGTTACCAAAAAGCCTTACCAACCTCAGACATTTGATTATTAGTGAATGCTTGTGAGGTCCCTTGAAATAAAAAAAATTAAAGTGTATTGTTTTTTTTATTTTAGTAAGAATACCAAAGCAAAAAGAACTGTTAATTATTTTAAAGCCTTAAATTTTGAATAATTTTTGAATAATAGTTTTTTTAATCTTATATTGTATTTGATTGGATGTTAATATAATGTTGCTATTGCCCGTGTATGTTCTGTGTTCTAAAATTGCAATATTTTTTTCTTAAAAAAAAAAAGAACATTGTTCATTTTAACAATATCTAAGCTAGTGTGCTCCAAAACAGTGACAGAATTCGCCTTTAGAACATATAAACATCCAAAGCTTACAGTTTGTCACTTCCTCCTAAATGGATCAACAATTGTTTTTTTTCCACATCACGTCATACTTCAGTTTCTGATAAAATCTTGACCAATCAAATGCTCTCTAGTACCTGACAGGCCTTGTCCCTTTAAGATGCTTTTTATTTGCTTTTCATTTGACATTCTTGACGCTCCTACAAAAAAAATTGCGCATTTTAAAGCACTTCACGTGACCTACGTAAATGTGTGTTTGTATTCTCTTACTCTCTTTGACTCTCAGATACGTTTCCAACATTGACAAGATCTTTGATGAGGCGCCCAGTGACCCTACCCAGGACTTTAAGACTCAAGTGTGAGTACCTCTCCTACAAATTAGTATATTTTTTGTTTTACATAGGGTTTATTCTAGAAATCTTGCTCATTGGTAGCTCTTAAATCTTCTTATATATGTAATCTTGGCAGATCATTTTAGTTTTAAAACACAAGGCGTCATATTTTCATCCCTGTTGTCACAACACATCTACACTCCTTTTCTATAAGCATAAATCAGGTGTTTGTGTAGAGCCAGTGTTCTTACTGGTTCATCTGGCAAGCCTTTTAAGAACTGCATTGCCTTCTCAACAGCTAGAGAGATACTTAGGGATAGGTCTCATCTTTCCCAGCAACACAAATGGAAACATCAAATGCAAATGTTGTTTTGATATTAATGAATATTGAATTCATTTGCAAGCTTACACTGGCACACATACACAGCTAATCCACCATGTCAGCACTGGTAGTTTTTATAAACATTTATTGAAAATCATAATAATGTGTTTGTGTGTTGTGGGATAGTTTTAAAGATGGAGATTCAAACTGCGAAAGTGTTAGGCATAATGTTGTGCTGCTATAAAAAACTCTGTTTCTGTTTTTCTCTTTGGTCACAGAAAAATGCATTTAGAATCTGCTACTGCTTAATGCTATATCATAGGCATTTCAGCTTTGCACAACCTCATTTGAATTTAAAGCAACAGTCACCAAAATGACACAATTTGGATCAAAGTCTAAAAGGGGCAGTTTCAAAGAGTTATAAACCATTATCTGTGTGGTATTTTGAGCTGAAACTTCACATATACACTCTAGGGACATCAGCGACTAATTTGAAATCATGTAAAAATGGGCATGCTTGGTGCTTTGTGTGGTGAAAAAGGAATAATTGATTTGGAACCATTTTCGAACCAGCACTCAAACTGCCTTGGTAGAAAGAGGTACTTGATGGCCAGTGTTTGAATATAAACAAATGCAAATTTGTAAACATTATAGTGTGAAAATGGCAACCTTGGTCATTTTTTATCTTTAATAATAGTGTCTATTTAACACACGTAATGAAGATTATTCCTTTTCATTTGATTTGTTTATTTATTTATTATTAAATAACATAACTCAGTCAACGAGATAAGTGTCATCAGGAAAAGTTTTAGATTTGTATCATATATTAACATTACATTTTTTTTAAATTAAATTTATAAATTCATTTGTTTGTGGTTTCTAATTGTATATTTTTTAAGTAAATGCTTTTAAATGGTTATGGTTGCTGACATGGCATTAAATAAAAATACATTATGATGACTTGAAAGTTGCTTTTACATAGATCTCCTATACCTAAAGAATTAAAACACTCTTTAATTTGTGTTTAACTTTTATTATTTTACATTTTTAAATAAAAAAGTAAAATAACAACAATATATTTTGTGAAATTATCATTAAGTGTTATTGCTCTTATTGTGTAATATTGCTTTATTTGTATAGATCACTACAGCTATTGGCCTCAAATCAGCAGTCATTAAAACTAGTGTGATTTTGATTTGAGAAATTGTTTATTTATATAGATTAATGTTTAATGAGGTAATTGAGGGCATTAACAGTATTTCCTTTGCCTTATCCTTTTTGCCAACTCATCAGTAATTTAGAGACTGCTCTATCAGTTCTCATTTATTATTCAGTTCTTTTGTAGAATCATAATATTTTAGTTGGGTATCCTATTTTTGTCTCATCAATTGTCTGCTATCATATTTTTAGTATCTGGACAACACCACAAAAGTTATGCACTCGACCCAAGGTAACAAATAAGGGTTTGCTCTAGAGAAACTATATGTTACTATATGTAACAAATGCTGGGACTTTCTCATGTGATATAAATATAAATAATTATCAGGAAATCTTTATTTATGAGTGAACTATATTTTTTAAGAGGACTAAAGGGGCTTCAAAAATACCACACTTCCAGCAGAGGTCACTATACATAAATTCTTTATACAGTCTCAATGATAGAAAGAGGGAAAATACTCTGCTGTAATTTTGTCAATGAGCGTAAACTGCTTGCTTTTTTCCATAATATTAAATTTCTCAAATTAAAACTCTATTTCTTCATTTCCTTTTGAATTTCAGAGCAAAGCTGGGCTATGGCCTTTTGTCAGGAGAGTACTCTAAACCAGCCCCAGACCCCGCAGATGAACCTAACACCTCTGCTGAACCCAGGGTACACACACTTACAGTTCTCATGTATTGGGTTGTATTAAAAACAAATAGATGAGTTAATATGCAAGTCTTTGATCATTTGATTACTGTAGAATGGGACAATTTACACACACAAGCGCACACACAAACACGCACACACATAAACTGAAATTAACTTGGCTCTTGCTCATTTGTTGAGGTTTGTTTTTCTTTGTGCAGGGTGACCAGGTTGGTATTGCACCTCGCATGTTCAAAGCTCTGGTTGGACGAGGCCACCCTGAGTTCTCCACCAATCGGCAACAGGATGCACAAGAGTTTCTTCTTCACTTCATAAATATGGTGGAGGTAATGATTATGACTTTCTCCTCCTATTTTTTTCTACCTTCAGGTGCATCTTCTCATTTTGTCTTGTCTTTGTTGTCCAGAGGAATTGTCGGTCAGGCATGAATCCTTCAGAAGCTTTCAGATTCTTGGTAGAGGAGAAGATTGTATGCCAACAATCACAAAAAGCCAAGTATACCCAGCGAGTTGACTATATCGTCCAGCTGCCCGTTCCCATGGACCAGGCAACTAATATGGGTTAGATAGTGACTAAAGTGTTGTTTATACTCTAAATCAGGGGTTCTCAACTGGTTTGGCCATGGGACCCACATTTTTACATGGTCATCAAGTCGCGACCCAAATTTTTAGGAACTATAATACAATTTTAGGAATTATAATTAATTTGTATTTATTCATTAACATAAACAAGTAGTAACAGATACGTCATAAGACATTCACCAAGACTTACAAATAAATACTATTTTATTGCTGTCATTAAACAAAATGGATCAAATTTTAGAAACATTACAAAGTAAAAACGACAAATACTGTTAATAATAAACTGTTAATAAAACATGTTTTCTGGTTTCTAAATGTTTTTTTTAATTTAAAAGGTTTCATGCTCTCTAGTGAGAGTACCTCACTACATATGACACCGAGGCTTTAAGTCTTTTTTGTCGTCAATATATATATCCATACTTTACATATTCATCGTCGTACTTGCGCTTGACATATTTGTTGTAATAATTAAATAAAATTTCACATGTCATGACAAAGGTAGGGTTGTTGCGCACACATTTCAAAATAAAAGTCCGGTATAAGCAAAATAAGTAAAAAATGTAACTTTTGTTGTTGTTTTTTAACACACACTCCGCGACCCACTGAAAATGTTCCCGCTACCCACTTTTGGGTCACGACCCACCAGTTGAGAAACACTGCTCTAAATAACAGTGCTAATATGCTTCCGTTTATCCATTCCTTACCATTTATCTTTTTTTTATTTATTTAATAATCAAACATTTTAATGAATCATTTTTGTTTAATCAGATGAGCTTCAAGAAGCAGAGCGTCGTCGTGAGGAGGCGGAGTCATCTGGAGCTCCTCCCCCTGTTGCACCTCGTGCTCAGATCCCATTTGCTGCCTGTCTGGCTGCTCTCAGTGAACCGGAAACACTCACAGATTTCTGGAGCTCTGCAGTTCAGGCCAAAACCACTGCCACAAAGTAATAATTATATCCATTTACTGATTGACTGACTGAGATTGTCTTTTTTTCTCCTGTACATAATGGCATCTTTAAATCTTTGTCTGTCTTAGGACCACTCGCTTTGCTTCATTTCCTGATCATCTTGTCATCCAAATCAAGAAATTCACCTTTGGGTTGGATTGGGTTCCTAAAAAACTAGGTGAGTACTATATGGCTGTTGGGCTTTTTATAGTTTAACTGAACAACGATTATTGTTCATTTAATATAGAAAGTAAATATAATGAATGTTACCATGTGGACTTTTTTTAAAGTCAAATTCACAAAACCATTTTGATTGCTCCTTTACATCAGTTACCTACCTACACAGCATTCATACTTAAGTCACATTTGTTTTATTTAGTTAAAGGGCACCTATTTGACCTCTTTTATAAGATGTAAGATAAGCCTTTGGTGTCTCCACAATGTGTCTAGAGTTTGAGCTCAAAATACCAATCAGATTATTTATTATAGCCTCCAGAATCTGCCCATTTTTGTGTCTGAGTATACTGTGGCTGTTTTTGTAGCCTGTGGCTTTAAATGTAAATGAGCTGCTTCTCCCCGCCGACCATTCCTGGTGGTTCTGCTTCTCATCACATGCTACGTCAGATAAACAGCACAGAGACAGGCTCTGATGAGGCTGAAGTACTGCTCATTAGTCAAAAATCAAGTCAAGCAAGTTTATTTCATGTATTTTTGGTGGAGTTTATTCAAGCCTTTGTGAATATGATGAGTCTCATGCACTGCTGTTTGCAGTACACACACATAGAAGTATTTACTGACACCATGCGGCTGTGGTGATTATAGCAGTTTAGATTTTACTGTTTTAATTACAAACATGCTCTGTTTTTTAAATGTTTTAAACTTCTAAAAATCATAGAGAGCAGTAACAAATATTTTAATCCAAGTTTGTTTGGAAAAAAAATGTTCTGTGGACATGTGTATACATGTTATTATAAAAAAATAGTGCCTGTCAATCAGTTCATTGGGAGGGGAACACTGCACTCCTATGTCAGAGGGCCTCAAAATCACTGCAATTTGGGTCCTGGAAATTTTAAAAAAGAGACTTTGGTTTAAATCACTAAACTATGACAGAGGACACACTGTACCTACACACAGTCTTGTACGAACAGCTTATAAATGTAGATTTTCATCATAGGTGCCCTTTAAATTTTAGTCATAATCTTTGCACTCATATGTAATTGTGCTCTGTTTGATGCAAATTGAAGTTTACAAAACTCTGGAGCTTTCATGCAGTTAATTGAATTCATACAGAAGCCTCATGTAATTTGACAGCATATCTGAAACATTTTCACTATTATCTAATATTTGTAGATAGAGATTATACTTTTGAAAATGTAAAAAAATAGAAAAACCTCTAAACATGAGGAGGGAATAACACGTATCAATCTCATTAAAAGGGGCAGGGACAGGGCAAACCACTTTAAATAATATGTACATGCAAGGCTTAACATTAACTTTTTTGACCACCAGCCACTGTGGCTAGTAGTTTTCCAACATTACTAGCCACTCACCATTTTCACTAGCCACAATTTTATTGTTGGGAAAATATATTTTATACACATAAATATGACTTTGACATGCTAAAATTACTCTTTAGAGATACTCTAAATTTATCTCTACATGGCTCCTCATTCATTTCACTTTTTGTGTGTCGTATATGAGCTTGCTCAATAATCATGAGCAAATGGGTCAGGGTTTCATATATTACAATTAGTTTTCATAATTTTCAGAGACCAGAATGGAAGGATTTACCCAATTTATCTCTGACCACACCATAAATAAACAGTTAATTATTTCTTAGCCACACATTTTAAATGTGTGAAAACATGCAAAATATAGCTGAATACCATACTTTTTATTTAACAAAACATATGCACAGTCATATGTCCTGGCTAAAGGTCCCAGATCACCAGTTAACTACACATACCGTAAATGGGGAGTTAATCTCCCATTAAAGCAATGTTATTGTAAAAAATATATAATTAAACCATATTAATGCAAAAGAAAGCAGGTAAAAAACATACTGTGTGATAATGAAAGGATGATCACCCACGCATGGGTAATGATAGACCCATAAATTATCTTTTCAAAGAATGGTTAAACCGAAAGCAACTGGCGCTGCTTACAATAAGTCAACTCTGGAACTCTGGAAAGCAGCAAGACTGTAGCCTGTAGGTGCATGTTCCTCCCTTTTGGTTCAGTCTATTTGAAAGACAATCGATCGCATCAGTTGTGTTTCTAGACACAGTTGCTTCACAAAAGGAAACGGGAGCGCACACGCGTTATAAACAGTCGTGCGTATCAGCTGTTAGCGCGAGTGATTATCCTCTCATCCAGTATTCACCTGCTTTGCTCGCGTGAAGGCAATTATTTTTGTCAGTCGTGTTGCTTCTCGATCGCCTGTGTATGCATATTGGACCATCCTTATTGTCGAACCCTGCTTTTAAGAATTATTATCTCGGAAAATTATTTTCAACCAGCCAAAGTGGCTAGTGGGAGTGTCTGTCTTACCCGCCACCGCCGAAATCTACCCGCATTTAGCGGGTTGGCGGGTGTTAATGTAAAGCCCTGTGTACATGTAAGATGTAATACCATGTAAATTATAAAATGTAAATTTTTCAGTTTGCTGGTTGTCAACTCTAAACTATAAAAAATATACGTACATTTAGCATTTACATTTATTTTTCTGTATTTTATGACTTTTTATTTCTTTATTTATGCTTTTTAATCACATTAAGAGACCTTGATCTTTCTTCTGAAAACTTTTAACCTTAAAGTTGGAAAAAGTGACTTTTATTGACATTTTTTTATTATTTAAAGTGATTTATTGAGTTGATGTTGCATATTACGGTACAAAAATCTTGTAATAAACTGCCAGTACTTTTTCTGTTAATTTACAAATGTATTTCTTCATAAATTATATCTTATATGCTTTATTATTCCAAACTACTAAAATGTCAAGTCATTTTGTTGAATTTTTCCACATCAGAAGTCGACAGAGCAGAGATCAAGGTCCCATAATGCAATTCAAATAAACGTAAATCAACACATAATGCGGAAACTGTTAAAAAACAGGTATTTTTTGGAGTGTAGCTTGAATGCTAACATACTCTTTGATGATTGTCTTAGATGTGAGCATTGACGTTCCTGAAACGCTGGATCTGAATGCGCTCCGTGCTATGGGACAGCAGCCAGGGGAGGAGCTTCTGCCCGAAGTGGCCCCGCCCCCGCTCATGACCCCCGATGTGGAGGTTAAAGGTATCCTGGGTTCCCATGGCAACGAGGAGGACGACTCTCTCTACTCCCCACTGCTGTGTCAGTCTGTCTTTCCTCCTCTTTCTGACTCCATCTGTCTGTCACTTGAGCCTGTCCTTCATTCCTCCTTTGTTCTTTACTTTCTTCTTTGTTTATTTTATTACGTTTATTTGACTGCGTATGAAAAAAAACTCTATATTTTTGTATATTGACAGTATACAGCATGTGACGCACAGCCTTATTGACAATGTTTAGTGTTTGAATAAGTTGTTGTGAATTTAATCATAGGTTAAAATATTTATTAAATATATTTTAATTATTTAATAGAATCATTCCTTTTTGTGATTGTTTTTATTTATTTATTTTTTATTTATTTATTTATTTTTATCACAGCATGTCTGTAGAGACATTTCTGTCTTTTTGTGTGTCTCTCTCAGCTCCAGTGTTGGACGACTCCACAGTGTCTCAGCTGTGTGAGATGGGTTTTCCTCTGGAGGCCTGCAGGAAGGCTGTGTATTACACAGGAAACACTGGCATTGATGCTGCTATGAACTGGGTGATGGGACACATGGATGACCCTGGTAAATGTATTCTTCAGTAGCCAGGAATTAATTACAGATTTGATCAACTTTTGTGACAAAAACAAACATAAATAGCATTGCAGGTTTATGTACATCAGAGCTAATATATTTTACATATGAATAGTTCAGATGGAAAACCCATCAGACCTCTTTTCTTGTAAATGAGCATTTTCTATCAGGCTCCTCTGATTAGGTTCAGAAGTTTCATTTTTTAAGTATTGAAAGGTTATTAGCTGTTAAATAAAATACCTTTTGTCAAAACTGTTACTTTAGACAATTTTTTCATTAATTAAGGTAAATTTTCTTTTGCAAAAACCTCTAAATCCAACTATTGGAACAAGACAGTGTAATTAGTTGAAAATCCCTAAAGATGCAATTATAAATTATTTTACCAAAAATAAAACACAAACCACCTTAAATTAAAAATACATACATCTATCAAGTAAGTGGCGGTTCAATTTGCTGTGATAAACCAGGGAAGAAGCAGAAGGAATATTTGTAAATGAAATCTGTCAAGTGAATTAATCAATAACGTTAAAACTGACATTAATTAAATCTTAACAATCTGTTATCATTTCTGATATTTAGGATTTAGATTCAATATAAGTAGAGCAATGTAAACATTGCAAACTAAGCTTGGTAGATTCAAATCATGTAAAAACATTGTGAAACATCAATATTTGTGCATTGTCCATTAATATATACAGCTTATCAGACGTACAGGTAATATGAAGTAATATAATAGTGTATAGTTTTATACTTTATATTTATCTTTTAAAAAATAGCTTAAATTAGTGAATAAAACGCAAGGTAGGCGACTGGGCAAAAAGAGCATGCCTCTTGGACAATTTTAGAAGCTGTCATTCATTCATTCTCACCATACTCAAGGTCTTGGTCTCTTTTTGGTCTCTTGTTTATCCTCGTAACATCCATAGGGGAATAAAAGAAGGGCATCTTAACTCTGTCTTTCGTAAAACGCAGTTACCGTTTAATGTATAGTAACTCAGACTCATTCAAAGTAGCGTTGCTGCACAAAAAAACTTTATGAATGCAGGTTACAATTCCGACTGCACATTGGGGGGTAAATCGAGATTACTATCGTTTTCCGATTAATCGTGCTGCACCAGTAGCTTGTGGTGGCACCCTGACATATAGCACTATGGATGCTCATGTCAAAACATTCCTTGACGATCTTGTTCCTCTTTCTCCACCTCATGCTTCTCTTTTAATGTAAAAGTATAAACCTTTGAAAAAAATTGTATGGGGGAAAAAAAGTATGAGAGTTTTCAGTAAATTGGTGTTTCCTTATGAATTTAATTTTGCTCAGTTTGATGATTAATATAAAAACAGCTGTAGAGCGACTGGTTTGCAGAGGCAGGTTTTGTAAAAGATTTAAGGTAGCATGCAGATTTTAAGTAATGAGTCTTTTTTTTTCTGCAGATTTCGCTGCACCTTTGGTGTTGCCTGGCTCTAGTTCTGCTCCTGGCACGACACCCACAGAAAGCCTACCTGAAGAACACCTGGCAACCATTGTTTCAATGGGATTCAGTCGAGATCAGGCTACTCGTGCTCTCAGAGCAACGGTGAGAGCTTTCGTCTTACAGGAATGTTCTACAGATGATTCTTAAGGATCTGTAAAATATTTGGAATACATCTTGTTATCATCAAACTCGAAATAAGTAGTGCCATTTTATACTGCCAACTATACTAATTGTTTCAGTTGTATTTGTTGAAAATAAATGGATCAGTCTAGTGCGTAATAAAGAACATGATTTTTTTTACATTTTGAAAACTTTGCGCTTAAGTGGCTTTTCTTGAACACAAATCGGCTATTAAATTTTTGCATCAGGTTACAAAAATGTGCAAAAATGAATTTTTCACAATAATAAAATTATACATAAAGTCTTAAGGCGATTGACTCAAAATCAACTTCTGATCATCCGCAGTTCTGCAGTTTACCTCCAACCACCTCTAACTCACACTTGCTTAATGATCCTAATAGATATATACACTAGATATCACATAGGGACCCTCAGCATGCGTCAATAGCGCCGCCACATTGGTACAGTGCTCCCAGGACAAATGTCATTCAACCGCACTAATCAACACAGTGTTATTACGTGAAGATGCGGGACTTTAGCGCTGTCACGGGTGTAGTAACGAGCAAACAAAGCACAAAAGCAGAACATTTCATAGGTAATGTTAAGTTTTTTTCTGTGTTTGAATGTTCTGAACTTTTGTGCTAATCAGGTAACGTTATTGATGATAACAGTCACTTACTGCATTCACCATACGGCAAAGCAGCTCCAACTCGCACTAAACACTCGGCTTATGCTAGTTTTGTTGAATAAAATTAGCAAACAATGCAAAAGAAATATGACAACGAGATGCTGTGCTGCCAGAAACTCTTATAATTGTCGGCTAACGTTAGTGAAAGAGTCGTTCGGGGGATTCATTCAAATGAATCGCTCTCTCCGTCAGTATGAGAAGTGAAAGCAGGAGAGGAGCTGTGTTTCAGGGCATGGATTATATTAAATTTAACAGGGAGGGTGAATAGTACATTTCTGTACACACAAACACAAGCTTTTAGTCAGGAATGCCCGTGCGGTCACTGATCCATCAATGTAGAAAAGTGATGTAAAATTATAATTTTCGTAATTAGAAAAAAAAATTACACACTAACATCCAGGAAAACTCCCGATCATAGATATATGTGTATATCTCAGGCTTTGGATGGCCACAGTCCTCCACTGTACCTTGGTCCCGCATTCATTTTAAAGGAGCGCTACCCTGTAGCAAGATGGCGGCGCTATTGACGCATTCCGTCCAATAGACAACAGTAGGCCAGGCGACATCTAATGTATATATCTATGAATCATCCTTGGTAGTCTTGACCTTCTTGATTAGTTAAATCAGCTGTGTTTGATTTGGGTTGGAGCAAAACTGTGCAGAGCTGCGGCCCTCCAGGATTCCAGTTTGAGAGTTATATCTTAAGACAATCAGCATTAAAAATTATGTGAACTATCATTTACAGTTCATTTGGTTGACAATTCCTCTTCAAAACTTTTATGCTTCTGTATTTGTAGAATAATGTTCTGGAGCGAGCTGTGGACTGGATCTTCTCTCATCTGGATGATCTGGAGTCCATGGATGTGTCTGAAGGAGGACGCTCAGAGGGTGGAAGTGAGGCCAGTCGAGAGCCTCCTCCAGGACCTCGTGTCCGTGATGGAACTGGAAGTAGGTGTTCATGTGTGCCCTTAAGGAATGTCTTGTTTTCTACATTTGATGTTCTCTTCTAACGCTTAATCTTCTCATTCTTTCATCCTGTAGAGTATGAGCTCTTTGCATTCATCAGTCACATGGGATCGAGCACAATGTGTGGTCATTACGTCTGCCACATCAAGAAGGACCAACAGTGAGTGCAGTCCTCTCTCCATCAGTCAACTCCTCTCCTTCTGTCCCTCGCAGTAAAACTTTCTTCAACATCTCTCTTTGCTTCTTTCAGGTGGGTCATTTTTAACGATCAGAAAGTTTGTGCCTCTGAGAAACCACCGAAGGACCTGGGATACCTGTACTTTTACAGGAGAGTGGTGGAATAAACTAGAAAATCATCTCTGTCTGTCTCATGCACGCACACATACACATACACATGCACACACACAGTTCTGTTTCTGGTCTAAAGGTATAGTTGGCTCCTGCTTCTGAAATGATCCGCAGTTTAAGTCAAAGCACTTCTCCATCTGATATATTCACTATTGAGAGACAGCTCACACAGGGGAAGGAAAAAAAAATCAAATGTAGGATGTGCGGGTTAGAGTGTTCTTACTCAAAACGCCCATGCTGTGCAGCGCCTTACCACACACACACACACACAAACACAAGACAGTAGTCTCCTTCGTGCCTCCCCCTGATTGGATAGTGGCTTTTGTGACATCACCGCTTCTAGAGCTAAGCTCCACCTTCCTTTATGTGTTCCAGAATGTTTCTGCAAATGTTTAATGGCAAGTAAATATCACTAAATCACACTCAAATAACTGCTAAATATTATGTATTGGAGTTTTAAATTTAAAATAATAATAAATGCAAAAGGTATCGTGCGGTTTCACTTTCCTTATGTTTTGTTCTCCTTTTTTGGGGGGAGGAAAGAATCATTTTGTTCATTTTGCTTTAAAATAAAAAAACGTGTCTCTTTGCTATTTGTGCGTCTGTGTTTTGTGATGAATAATGAATGTGTGTAAAGGGATTTACTGACAACTAAATGCTGTGTCAGTGATCAACATTTTAAGCATACTATAGTAAAGCATAGTATTTGGTATGTATTAAAGTATTTGCAACTCTATGTTGATGAATGTGTGTCATGATGGTGCACGATCGCCTCACAGCAAGAAGGTCGCTGATTTGAGCCTTGGCTGGGTCAGTCGACATTTCTGTGTGGAGTTTGCATGTTCTCCCCATGTTTGCATGGGTATCCTCCAGGTGGTCCGGTGTCCCCCACAGTCCAAAGACATGCGCTGTAGGTGAATTGAATAAGCTAAATTTGCGATAGTGTTTGAGTGTGGAAGAGTGTGCATGGGTGTTTCCCAGTGTTGGGTTGCAGGTGGAAGGGCATCTGCTGCACAAAACATATGCTGGATAAGTTGGCGGTTCATTCCCTGATTAATAAAGGGACTAAGCCGAAAAGAAAATTAATGTTAGTGAATGTTACAGCATGATGTAGAATTAACTATAGTGAACTGATAAATTAATAAATTGTTTTGTATACTTGCATCTTTACTACTGAAAATGGTGGTATAGTGCCCAAACTAGGGCCTGCGGGCCAAAGTTGGCCCATAATAACCTAAGATTTGACCCACCATCCCATGCCTTTAATAGAGATTATCATTTCTAATTTAACATAATCTTTTTTGTTTGTTTGTTTGTTTTATTGTTGAGCTACAAAAAGCAAGCTTGAATAAAATTGTTTTAAATGAGTCAGATTTATTTAAATGTTCATTGTGTTATTAATGGAATTGTTTGTTTTCATTATAATAAGTTAATTAAAAAAGGAAAAAAAAATGCATTAGTTATCCTAATACGATTAAAGCTTTCTATTTATTTTTAGATGTTATTTTGAAAAAATTACACATTGCAACTTTCTAATGCATTTTTATATATTTACTTTCGGCCTACAGCCCTCAGCTATGTTTGTTTTTGGCCCTTTATAAAAAAAGTTTGGGCACCCCTAGTATAGACTATAGTTGTGGAAAACCGGGCTAAAACAGTAATGGGTAGTTGTATTGCTACACTGAATTCCCAAAGCAGCTAACTTCACTATTGTACAAAATTCTATGCTGTTTACTATTACTATAGGTTTTTTTCATGTGGGACTTTTTTTCGAGAAGAAAATGTCAGGGCGACACGGTGGCTCTGTGGTTAGCACTGTCGTGTCACAGCAAGATTTGAATTGAATAAAATACGTTGGCCGTATAGTGTGTGTAAATGAGTGTGTATGGATGTTTCCCAGTTTTGGGTTGCAGCTGGAAGGGCATCCGCTGTGTAAAACACAGGTAGAGGTAGTGGTTTGTGTAAAAAATAGGTAGCGTACATTATGTCCTTAAGAAGCATTGTTTTCCAATCTAGCGTTCATTAAAAAAAAAAAACAGAAACTTGAAGCGATATTCTGTTCTCCATTGGTTGTTGCTTTTAAAAGTAAAACTAACTTTTTGTGCTTCCGCTATTTAGATTTATATATCAGTGTCGTGTGGTTTTGTCAGTCGGACTAAATGCGCAGATCTATGAATATGAAACTTGTCAACAGGATACAAAACCTCCATCCAAACGTGAGTATGAACGGCAGAGCATACAAACTAACAACAAAACATAAAATGTTTACGAGCTGATTCTTAAAAAGCAGCCAAAACCCGGAGAAGGAGAAACGCTGAGGTACAGAAAGATGAGTTCTGCAAAACTGTTGCAAACAGTGTAGATGGATTGAATTTAAACAAATTAAATTGAGTAATGTTCAACTTAATCTGTTTAATGTCAGCCCAAATGAATCGTTTACAACTTAACTTTAAATCATTTAGCAAGGAATCATCTTTGAATCTATTTTTTTTTCAGTGTGCAGTGTTTTTAAAAGTAGGATATGCAAGATTTTGACTGAAACAATGTTTAAGTTGTCTATTGGTTGTCTGGTAGTTTCTTGTTTAATAAAATTAAATGTTGTCTCATGTTTTAAATATAGAAAATTAACATTAGTAAATTATCAACCAATTCACAAATTTTCTATGACATTTATTAGAAAATGAAACAAAGAGACAAACAAAATTACCCTAACAAAATAGAAACTTCCTCACGTTTTTTTCTTAGTTAATAAAGACTCTTTTTTTTATTTAAACAATAACATTTTGGATTGTTTTTTTTTCTTATTCAAATGGATTTTCAGTGTCTGGATTTTTGATTATTTATTTATTTTTATTTATTTATTTAGGACATGTCAACTTGCAAGATGCTGTTTTTACTCATTTTAGGTAAGCAATAGAAAGCCAGAAAATGCATTATAATATTCTTTTGTTTTTGATATGTCTATGATTACTCCATGCAGTTTCCTCACTGTTTCTTCCTTTAAACCTTTTTACATCCTCCATCAGCACTGAGTGTTTCATCTGGGGTGTGTGATGTGCCTCATAAAGAAGCCGGGAAAGAGGTTTATTTGCAGTGTGGAGCACCTCCTAATAGTGATATAGAGTGGAGGTTAAACGGCAATCTCTTAATCAGCATTAGAGGCAAAACTGGATTAAGACGCAAGGGTATTAGTTTCCTCTCCTTTTGACACAAAAGCAGAATAAGTTTGTAGTCCCACTATAATGAATTATGATTTTAAAGGTTCTGGCCATACTGCGGACAAAGTAAATTTATATGGAGACACTCTGAATGTTCCCAGACTGGAGCCAAGAGACTCTGGAGTTTATTCCTGCACACAGTCAGGGAAACAATACACGCTGCATGTTGTGTCAGGTGAGAAAGAGCTGCCGGTTTTATATAATTATTATACTGCATATTTATAATATTTACACATTTTTCTCTGTCAGTGTTTGTTAAACCAGGCCCAGTGCTGATTCAGTCTAGTGATGTGGAGCTGCACTGCAACATTGAAGGAGACCCAAACACTGAAGTAGAGTGGCTGAGACCCCCTAATGATCAAGTACATGATGCAAAACATCAAAAGATTAACCTGAAATCTGTGTCTTCAAGTGATGAAGGCAAGTGGACTTGTAAGGTCGAAGACCTGAAGCTCAGTGTTACACTGACTGTTGTTGGTAGGTGTTCCTCACCAGTTGTTATTTAACACAAAAGCTCTTTTCTTATAATAAGAATTCAGATTTCATGCTGTCTGTGACATTTGTTTGGTCTCCAGCAAACCACCAGATCAATAATGTTGAAGTTTCTGAAGGGGACGACATAGAGCTGCCATGTTTTCTTCCTCGTCCTGTATCTCAGAGTGTTTTGGGGGGGGAATGGAAAGCAGACCACCTTCCCACAGTCCCATTCCCAACCCTGAAGAACACAGCAGACGAAGGCTTACACTGGGATGGCGTAAATTCATCAGTAGTCAAATATAATATTGAACGCCTCAGCACCAACTTCAATGTCACTCTGATAAATGTAAGTTTTAATTTTCATGAATAATTTACATTTTGATGTTACTCTTCTAAAATGACGAAGCATTCTGGCTTCCTCAAAGAACCACAGATGCCAGTAAAGAAGCTTTATTTTTAGTGTGTGTTGACAGTCATTTCTCCACATCTTCTCTCAGGTGCAGAGCAGCTTTGCAGGGAAGTTTGTGTGTGAAGTGGAGTTTGAGCATGGAGGAAAATTAACTGCTGTGACCAATTTGATGGTTTTGGCCGAAACAACAGATAAAACAGATCTACACGGCACGTAACCAGTCTATAAATGAGTCAAAATGACCCAAGTCTTTAGCCATTTTGTCTGATTGTACACAATGATAGTTTTTCTTGAGACCTGAAGCCTTTCATTCTGAGGCATGATGCCATTTTATTCTATGATGATTGAAGCCTTTTTGTCTGAGGCATGATTTTCTATCTATCTATCTATCTATCTATCTATCTATCTATCTATCTATCTGTCTGTCTGTCTGTCTGTCTGTCTGTCTGTCTGTCTGTCTGTCTGTCTGTCTGTCTGTCTGTCTGTCTGTCTGTCTGTCTGTCTGTACGATGCTTAGCATTTTAATTTAATATGAATTTACAATTATTCTCTCCATCAGCACTGTGCGTTTCACCTGGGGTGTGTGAGGTGTTGCTGTATCAAGGAGTTGGGAAAGAGGTTTCTTTGCAGTGTGGAGCATCTTCAAATAGTGATATAGAGTGGAGGTTAAACGGCAATCTCTTAATCAGCATTAGAGGCAAAACTGGATTAAGACGCAAGGGTATTACTTTCCTCTCCTTTCAACACAAAAGCAGAATAAGTTTGTAGTCCCACTATAATGAATTATGATTTTAAAGGTTCTGGCCATACTGCGGACAAAGTAAATTTATATGGAGACACTCTGAAGGTTCCCAGACTGGAGCCAAGAGACTCTGGAGTTTATTCCTGCACACAGTCAGGGAAACAATACACGCTGCATGTTGTGTCTGGTGAGAAAGAGCTGCCGGTTTTATATAATTATTATACTGCATATTTATCATATTTTCACATTTTTCTCTGTCAGTGTTTGTTAAACCAGGCCCAGTGCTGATTCAGTCTAGTGATGTGGAGCTGCACTGCAACATTGAAGGAGACCCAAACACTGAAGTAGAGTGGCTGAGACCCCCTAATGATCAAGTACATGACGCAAAACATCAAGTGATTCATTTGAAGTCTGTGACTTTGAATGATGGTGGCAAGTGGACATGTGTGGTCAATGACTTTAAGTTCAGTGTTACGCTGACGGTTGTTGGTGGGGGTCCCCTAGTTTTAAACCAAATTCATTCTGTATAAAATAGTTTTCATAACTATAATATTTCAGATTTTATACTGACAAGACAACTCTGACAAATTTAAGGATTTATGTATTGCAGATTGTTTTCGGAAATGTTTAATAGCATGCAAATATCTTTGCAAACAAACAAATGTATAATGAAAATTTCAGTAAAAAAAAAAAATTAATGCAGAAGTTGTTTTGTGATTTCGCTTGTACAGTACTTCTTTTTTTTGTGGGAGGAAAGAATCATTCTGCTCTTTTTGCTTTTAGATAAAATAAAAACATTTCCAAGAGAATATGTCTGAAATATCATTCTACTGCTTACATTAGTTTAGTTCCCCTGACAAGGTGAATGAATCACAGAACGAAACAAGAACATGGAAAAGAAGAAACATGCAAAAAAATAAAAAATAAACTGAACTAAAACTGACATAAAACCACAGCCTGAAATCAATGGAAAATAACACACTTCATCTGATTAAATAAAAATGCTCCAACAATATTATTATCAGCTATACTTACCCTACTACAAACCAATTTGCATCAATGTATTTAAAACAGAACTTCATTGTAATTAACAGGTTTGTTTGTTTTGCTCAATTTCATTTTAATCTTGAGTACCAAGTAATATTGATTCCAGCTTTACTTAAAAGTCTTTAGTTATATAATAATTATAGGAGAACAATACAGATTTGCAATACTCTCTAAAAAAAGCTGAGCATGGAGATGCACCGCAGAGTCAACAAAGTGCAAGTACAGCAGTATCCCCTTAGTGAATGACTATAACCTGTGATGTTGCTGTAATTAAAATGGGAAAAACTTTATTTTTGAGAGTATAAAAAAGGTACTTTTAATGATAGTAAATGTTAAAAAGCAAACCACTGGAGCAATCTCTTTGATTATTATTTTGTTTTTTTATAGCATGAAGAATGAAGAATAGGCAAAACACACACACAGCTGAAGTAGTTCTGACTGTGTACACTACCCAGCAAATATGCTCATGCAGGGCGCATATTGGCTTTTGGCAGGCACTGCAGACTATGGCGAGCCCACACCAGATCTAGGCCAAGTGTGGGCTTGATTGGATGGCCTACAGCTGCAGGCTGACTAAGAGATCTGTCAGAACACCCACTAACAAACAGCCCACATTTATCAAATGACAGCCCAGTGTTGGCTAGCCCATTTGGACAATGGCTAAAAATTGTTGTCCCATTAGTGTTGGTCCTGCATGAGTGGCCCGGACCTAGCCCCTAGGAAGAACCCACTTTGAAGATTAAAGATTAAAATGGAAGATTTGAAATGATCCCTCTCATGTTTGTGTGCATAAAAGACATATATGAGTGACACCAGGGGCGCAACTGCACATTTACTGATGGGTATGCGGCTTCAACTTTTACCGGCCCCCTTTCAATCCAACTATATTTTATAAACAGGCAAGTGATAAAATGTGGAAAATATTTCCATCAATAAATTAAAGATATTTTTTCATAAAGATATCAATATGCTTAAAAAAATACAGTTTCGCGTTTCTGAACACAACTGAAATAAAATGAAGTAGTACATTAAGCATGTTAGGTCGCAAAGAAATGCATCTCATACCACCCCAAATTTCTTCTCAATTTAATTTTCCCTCACTAAATGATTATATCACCTTGACTAGCCTTGCTTTTGGACTTTTTGTACTACCTTTGTCAAAACAAAATGATAGACATGGGAGTTCTAAAGGGCAAAAGAACATTGCAATTACTTCTCACATGCATACTGTGAGAAGTGTAAGGTCTGTCTTTGCAAGAACATTGACTGAAACTGCTAAAAGTTAAATAAAAAAGACTGTCAAATGTTTAGTGTAAAAAAAAAAAAAAAACAGAAACAAACAAATGTTCTGTTTAATTGAAATGTTATAACTTTGTTTGTAGCTAAAATTAAAATAGTTTTAAGCTAAGAAGTTACCAAAAGGCCTGATGAATCAATATGATGCATAATAAATTTATAAAAACATGTATATGGTATGAAAAATGGGGGTGGGGGGGTGTTGGGTGGAATGATTTTTTAATTTAATAAAATACAATATTATACGCGTATAAAATGCTAAATAAACATTTTTAACATATATATATATATATATATATATATATATATATATATATATATATATATATATATATATATATATATATATATATATATATATATATATATATATATTATTTAAAACTTTTAATATGGATAATTTCAAAAATAGTTTTGGCACAATGGCGCCCCCCATGTGTGGCGCCCCTATTTACATTTACATTTAGTCATTTAGCAGATGCTTTTATCCAAAGCGACTTACAAATGAGGACAAGGAAGCAATTTTCACAACTAAGAGCAACAATGAATAAGTACTATAGGCAAGTTTCAGGTCTGTAAAGTCTAAGAAGGGAAGTATTAGTAGTATAAGTAATTTTTTTATTTTTTATTTATTTATTTTTTTGTACAGTTAGTGTGATATTCAGAGAGGCAATTGCAGATTAGGAAGTGTAGTGGAGAGTAAATAGTTGAGTTTTTAGGCATTTCTTGAAAGTAGCGAGTGACTGCCGTTCTGATGCAGTTAGGGAGTTCATTCCACCAACTGGGCAGATTGAGCGTGAGCGTTCGCGAAAGTGATTTCTTCCCTCTTTGGGATGGAACCACGAGGCGACGTTCATTCACAGAACGCAAGTTTCTGGAGGGCACATAGATCTGCAGAAGTGAGAGCAGATAAGAAATAGCAAGGCCAGAAGTCACTTTGTAGGCAAACATCAGAGCTTTGAATTTGATGCGAGCAGCAACTGGCAGCCAGTGCAAACGGACTAGCAGTGGAGTGACATGTGCTCTTTTAGGTTCATTGAAGACCACTCGTGCTGCTGCATTCTGGAGCAGTTGAAGAGGCTTGATAGAGTTAGCTGGAAGCCCAGCTAGTAGAGAGTTGCAGTAATCCAGTTTGGAGAGAACAAGAGCTTGAACAAGGAGTTGAGCTGCATGTTCAGATAAGAAGGGTCGGATCTTTCTGATGTTATAGAGTCCGAATCTGCACGATCGAGCAGTTCTAGAAATGTGGTCAGAGAAGTTTAGTTGGTCATCAATTGTTACTCCAAGGCTTTTCATCATTTTGGATGCAGTAATGGTTGCCCCATCCATCTGGATTGAAAAGTTATGGTGTAGAGTCAAGTTGGCAGAAACTACAAGCATTTCCGTTTTTGCGAGGTTCAGCTGAAGATGATGATCTTTCATCCAGTTTGAAATATCCAACAGGCAGGCTGAGATGCGAGCTGGAACCGAGGGATCATCAGGATGAAAAGAGAGGTATAGCTGGGTATCATCAGCATAGCAGTGGTAGGAGAATCCATGTCTCTGGATGACTGGTCCTAGAGATGATGTGTAGATGGAGAAGAGAAGTGGCCCAGAGCAGAACCCTATGCCCCACATATACTGCATACCCCCTTTTTGCGCCACTGAGTGACACTGTCATATTAGAGACATGTTTTACCATAATATCAGTCCTGTTTATTACTCCTAAGATTTTAGTGTGTGCATGCCCTTAAAAACAGTGTGGAAGAAGATAAGTTACCTGACAGGAAGCAGGAAACAGTATACAGAGAGCAGCATGGCCAAAACTAGAGGGCTACAAACAGCCTCTAAGCTTTTTTAAAGAGTGGAGATTCCTTTTGTCTGGACTTACCCTTTCACAATATTTTAGCTTCTGTATTATCACTGTTTTTGGATTGTATATAAACTGGTGAACTATCACTTTGGGACTATACAGCACATTTTGATTTTTGGACAGTTTTTGGGGTATGGAACATTGAAATGCTTGTAACAGATTGAGAGTTTTGTTTTATTGTGTTGTTTGTGAATAGGCCTACACAAAAAGTGACTACCTTAAAGAGTCATTTTGCCACTTTTAACTCTTACAAACCTCTCACACAACTAAAATCTGACTTGTTTTATACCTAGTTACCTGCTGTTGAGGCTGAACCCCTGATAGCTGACACTGAATCAACAGTCAAAAGGTTGAACACTGAAAAAAAAAACACTGAATTTTCATCAGCTTTGCACCCTTAACTAATTTTTTCCCCAAGAATGAAAAATTCTCAGAAATATTTGCCATGAAAAAATTGCAAGACTTAAAATACTTAAAATGACCAAGTAGGACTTTATTTTTAGTATTATTTTTATACTTATGTACTTAGTACTAAGAAAAAAGGAGAATATAAAAGTATAAAGAATTACCAATTAATTTTTACACAAAAAGCAAACTGCAAAAAAAAATTAAAGACTAAGATAATCACAGGATTTTGAAGGATTTAAGACTGAGCTTGTATTATTAACCTGAAATAAAAATAATCTGTGACTGAAACAAAATCAGCAATTCCACAGAGATAAATTAGAGATACATTTAAATTTCTAGAAGAGTCTTTTATGAAGAGATGTATATCTTTGGAGTGAACCTAATGGCGTCCCCTTTCCGAAATGCACTTCAGTGGCTTTAAATACATTTTTCCCGTTAACTCTTAGGCGAGTGAGCCCTCTGCTGGAGAGAGAGATTTTAAAAAAGAGAGACTAACTCATTTTTTTAAACAATCAGATTAAAAACTTTACATTTTACACTTAAGGGCAGAAGAAGAGAAGGGGTTATAGCTTCTTCTACCACAATGCAGAAAAACAGTTTCAGGAGCTGTTATAACATTGCTATCCAATCATCTAGGCCTACTCCCAGACCTAAAAATGTGTTTGGAGCTCAAGTCAAAAACATTCCCTTTTTGGATCACCATCTGCTATATGTTGCTTTTTTCCCTTTCAAACGTGTGTAGATGCTGATGAAATGATAATTAATTAGTTAATTTATCAAAATTCTGTGTTTTAAAACTATTTTCAATTATTAATTTAGCCTACTGTATTTGAAAGTCAGCTTAGGTAGTGTGGTAAGAGATAGGCTATTTTATTAATCGAATGAAGCAAGTTCACACGTACGGGCTACAAAAAAGGCCATATTTTAATTCAGGAACATCTTTTATTCATCAGATGAGGTAATTAACTTGTTTGAGCCCTCCTAGGCCTATCTATATTGTGTAGATTAGCCTAAATAACCATAAATTAAAACTAAACGACAGGCACTCCAGCTGATATTTAAATGTAAAACAGCGAAATACAGAAACAACATTTGGCTCCACACATACATTGACAATGGCAGCAGCGCGTGCAGAGGTTTCGTTGTATTTTAAAGAATAGGACAATAAAAGTGTCTTGAACTTAAAAGTTAAAGCTTATTAGTTAGGCTATGTCTCTGTTATGATGCTAAATCATCATAGCTCAAGCTATGATTACCTAAGCTAACAGCGACCAAGTTTTACGTGAATCGGAAGCTTCACAAGGTTGGTTTAGTCTAACGAAAAAAAAAACGAAAAAGTTTTAATTATGCAGCTTATTTATATATGACGTTACTGTGACTATTTAGGAGCTAAATTCTCGAATCTAGCAGTCATTTGGAGGATTTCCCACTAACACTACTGCGTGTGAGAGGCGTTTTCTGCTCTACATTGGTTGCTGCTCTCCAAACATTTTTTTTGTTTCCGCTCTCTTGCCTCACTTTAGTTTCTCGTGCGGGTTCAGGTTTTCTGCTCGTCTGGTTTCTCTGTTTCTCACACACTTGTCAGTTGGATTAAATGCGCAGAACTTCTCTGAAACTTGTGAACAAAATATAAAACTGCATCCAAACGTGAGTATTAACAGCAGAGCTTTCAGCTGCGAAACTATATAATATAATATAATATAATATAATATAATATAATATAATATAATATAATATAATATAATATAATATAATAAAGCCTACTATAAATCTCGCACGAAATAATTGTTAAGAGAGCAATAAAATATTTGATATAAATGTTTGGTTTAGCTGGATGTGCATCATAAATATCTAAATTGTGACAAAGAAACCATTTTCAAATATATATTTCTTCTCATGCTCAATTTGCGAGTAAAATGCTTGGTTATAATCTTTTATCGTATCGAGTTACATAAATTATATACATATTTATTATTATATTTATAAATGTATCTTCACAGATTTCTGTATATTGGCAAATGAAAAAATATAATACATAATTACAATAAATAATTTAAATATGTTAAAACAAACTGGAAAAGTTGCATAAATATGCAGATTGTAATCTGTATAATTTGAAAAAGAAACATTTATTTGCAGATAGTTTAATAGATATTAAAGATAAGAAAATGTGTATATATATATATATATATATATATATATATATATATATATATATATATATATATATATATATATATATATATATATAAAAGCTTTGATTAAAAAGAAGAGAAAACACCATTAGAAATCATACAATTTCTACAAATACCTGATTCCTTTAGCAACATTTTTTCCTCATTATTATTATTTTTTTAAAATCTTGTTATTTTATCCATGCAAACAATTTGGAGCTATTTGCTATTTTTTCTTGTTTAGCTTAAAGCTTGTTCAGCTTGTTTAGCCTTTGTTCTCAGATAAAGTTTAAAGTTAATTTGTAATGAGATTTTTTAGGCCAAACATTTGCGAACAAGAAAATGATTGTGGCTCATTATCAGTTTTTTTTTTCCTATTTGCTCTTTTCTTTCTCAGTTGTTACAAAGCACTTCTTTATTAATATGAATAACTCTTGACATTCATTTATTCTTTTTCTTTTTGGCTTTGTCCCTTTTTTAACCTGGGGTCGCCACAGCAGAATGAACCGCCAACTTATCCAGCACGTGTTTTACGCAGCGAATGCCCTAATTCTTGAAATTTTGATAAAAGTTTTTAATGTTTTGTTTTTATTTTAAATTTCAGGAAAAGGATTAGAAAACCAGCTCACAAGATGATCTTTTTTCTCCTTCTTGGTAAGAACTAGTAACTCAGACTGTTAGGAATAAAAACAATATTACAATGCAGTTTTTAGGATTTCACGTTCTGCACAGCATTCTTTCTCTGACATTCTTTAAGCTTTTTTTATTCTTCATCCTCCATCAGCACTGAGTGTTTCATCTGGGGTGTGTGATGTGCTTTATAAAGAAGCCGGGAAAGAGGTTATTTTGCAGTGTGGAGCACCTCCAAATAGTGACATAGAGTGGAGGTTAAACAACATTCGCTTAATCAGCATTACCGGCAAATCTGGATTAAGACGCAAGGGTATTACTTTCCTCTCCTTTTAAAACAAAAACATAATAACTTTGTTGTCCCACTATAATTAATTATTGTTTTAAAGGTTCTGGCCATTCTGTGGACAAAGTAAATTTATATGGAGACACTCTAAAGATTCCCAGACTGGAGCCAAGAGACTCTGGAGTTTATTCCTGCGCACAGTCAGGGAAACAATACACGCTGCATGTTGTGTCTGGTGAGGAAGAGCTGCCGGTTTTATATAATTATTATACTGCATATTTATCATATTTACACATTTTTCTCTGTCAGTGTTTGTTAAACCAGGCCCAGTGCTGATTCAGTCTAGTGATGTGGAGCTGCACTGCAACATTGAAGGAGACCCAAACACTGAAGTAGAGTGGCTGAGACCCCCTAATGATCAAGTACATGATGCAAAACATCAAAAGATTAACCTGAAATCTGTGACTTCAAGTGATGAAGGCAAGTGGACTTGTAAGGTCGAAGACCTGAAGCTCAGTGTTACACTGACTGTTGTTGGTAGGTGTTCCTCACCAGTTGTTATTTAACGTGAAAGCTCTTTTCTTATAATAAGAATTCAGATTTCATGCTGTCTGTGACATTTGTTTGGTTCTCCAGCAAACCACCAGATCAATAATGTTGAAGTTTCTGAAAGGGACGACATAGAGCTGCCATGTTTTCTTCCTCGTCCTGTATCTCAGAGTGTTTTGGGGGGGAAATGGAAAGCAGACCACCTTCCCACAGTCCCATTCCCAACCCTGAAGAACACAGCAGACGAAGGCTTACACTGGGATGGCGTAAATTCATCAGTAGTCAAATATAATATTGAACGCATCAGCACCATCTTCAATGTCACTCTGAAAAAAGTAAATTTTGATTTTCATGAATAATTATATATTTTGATGTTACTCTTCTAAAATGACGAAGCATTCTGGGTTCCTCAAAGAACCACAGATGCCAGTAATGAAGCTTTATTTTTAGTGTGTGTTGACAGTCATTTCTCCACATCTTCTCCCAGGTGCAGAGCATCTTTGCTGGGAAGTTTGTGTGTGAAGTGGAGTTTGAGCATGGAGGAAAATTAACTGCTGTGACCAATTTGACGGTTAAGAGTTGGACAGGTAAAAATTGCTGTCAGTTACTCTCTGATGTTAGTGACCAGGCAATTCTAGCACTAGGAAACATAAAATATTTTTTTACATATGTTTTTGAAAGACATGTTTATACAATAAAAACAATAAGTTTGTGAAATAGTATTACAATGTAACAGAACTATTTCCCATGTGAATATATATTAAAGCCTGTGATGTAAAGCTGAATTTTCAGCATCATTCTTCCAGTCTTCTGTGTCTGTATTCAGATTAAATAACATTTCTACAATGTAGACATTTTTGCAATTTTGATCAAATGAATGCAGCCTTTGTAAACACCAAAATATTTTTAAAAAGTGTATAAATGAACTTTTATATATATTTATAGATTTATTTGTAAAGCGCTTTGAACGTCTAGAAAAGCGCTATATAAATATAAGGAATTACTATTATTATTATTATTATTATTATTATTATTATTATTATTTGTGTTTGCTTTGTTTCCCTATGTTTAGATTATAATAGCGATTACAGTATATATGAGACACTCAATATTTATTTATTTGATATTTATAATGTTTGATTTATAAATTTTTGTGTTGCATTTTGAATGATTGGGTATATTTTATTGCTGTATTTAATGGTTTATTGTGCAGGCAAAATATAATTATTTAACAGACTTGGCTATAGATTCATCCCAATGAGAACAAAAAATATTTTATGTAAGCAAAATCCCATATAAACAGTCTGTTTTAATAAATCCTGAACAGATCGGAATGATGGTAAAACAGGGAAAAATTCGAAGCCTGGACTTGCTGGAGAAATTTTCAGAAAGAGTATGTTTGGAGTTGAACTTTGGATCTGGATTGCTGTAGGAGCCTTTTCTGTGGTTCTGGTGCCACTGATCATTGGAATTGTCTGTATGCAGCAAAAAAACAAACAAAAAAAGGTGAGAGAAAAACATAAAACAAAGTAAACAAGCGAGCTGGAACGGAAGTGGCTCATTTAGTTTCTTTTTCTTTATGTAGAGGAGAGTGAGAAAGCTGAGATCCATGCGGCAGCCTCTCACAGCTAAAGACTACTGCCAGTGCAACAGGTACTGCAAATCCTCTTCCTTTACTCTGCGTAAATACAGTAAGTGCCAGTCTTACTCACTGTCAAGCTTTCCGGAATGCTTCAATATGCCTTATAGATAGAGATAATTCACCTGCAAATTAATAAAAAAAAGACATGTAAGAAAAAAAATATTTAAAAAATGTGTCATTTAAAAAAAAAAAATAGAAATTACTTTTAGCCTTTAGGGAACTCAACAATTTTAAAAGTATCTCCCTTTGTCTTCCATAGAAAAAAGAAAGCCAAAATAATGAGGGTGAGTAAATCATGGCATAATGATAGATTTTATGAATTTGTAAAAAAAAAAAAAATGTATGAGCTATCCTTTTAATTTTTTTAATATTGTAACTTACTTTAATGTTTTGTTCATTTGACCTTGTTTGACCTTTTATTAGTATCGGTTTATTTGGGGTCTTTAAATATTTAGCTTGTTTTCCTATTTTTATGTTTAGATTACCTTTATTTTTTATAATGTATTTATTGTAATTATGTCTTGTAGACTTGATTGTTTAAAATGTTAATGTAGTTTTAAATATAACCCTCTATTTACTTTTATAAATACTGAATTTTAAAATTAGCCATTTACTTGTTATCCATTTCAGACAGAATTGTAATATTAGTGTATCTCTGGCATTTATACCACACTATTGTCTGATAGTATACAAACAGATGCTATAAAACTAAATCTTTTTTTAATGAATTTGATTTAAATAATTTTTATAATGTATAAAAACCATTATACATATATATATATATATATATATATATATATATATATATATATATATATATATATATATTTTTTTTTTTTTTTTTTTTTAATTTCCGTAGCTTCTAAGAGTCCAAAAAGATCTACATATTCATAAATAATGTTATGATCGCTGTTATAATGGTTAGTTATGAATAAATTGCCTTATTACAGTTATGAAATAGTTTTGACAACAAGCAGGAAATGTTCATGGACCAATGACATCCTTACATTTGAAATGGTTTATATATATATATTCATTCATTCATTCATTCATTCATTTAGTTTATTTTCGGCTTAGGCCCTTTAGTATTCAGGGTCGCCACAGTGGAAAGAACCGCCAACTTAAACAGCATATGTTTTACGCAGCGAATGCCCTTTCAGCCGCAACCCAACACTGGGAAACACCCACACACACTTGCATTCACACACATAGACTACAGCCAATTTAGCTTATTCTCATTGACTGCATGTCTTCGGAGTGTGACGCAACCTGAAGCACCCGGAGAAAAACCACGTGAACACGGGGAGAGCATGCAAACTCACAGAAACGCCAACTGACCCAGCTGGGGCTTGAATAAGCAACCTTCTTGCTGTGAGGCAATCATGCTACCCACTGCGCCACCATGATTTATATATTAATAAATGTTTATGAATATATATATATATATATATATATATATATATATATATATATATATATATATATATATATATATATATATATATATATATATTTATTTATTTATTTATTTATTTATTTATTTTTTTTTTTTAATATAGAGTTGAAGTCAGAATTATTAGCCCCACTGTTTATTTTTTCAACACATTTTTTAACATAATAGTTTTAATAACTCATTTCTAATAACTGATTTATTTTATCTTTGCCATGATGACAGTAAATAATATTTGACTAGATATTTTTTAAGACACTTCTATACAGCTTAAAGTGACATTTAAAGGCTTAACTATGCTAATCAGGTTAACTAGCCAGGTTAGGGTAATTAGGCAAATTATTGAATAACAATGGTTTGTTCTGTAGACTATCGAAAAATAAATAGCTTAAAGGGGCTAATCATTTTGACCTTAAAATGCTTCATAAAAATTAAAAACTGCTTTTATTCTAGCTGAAATAAAACTTAAGACTTTACTTAGAAGAAAAAATATTATTAGACATACTGTGAAAATTTGCTTTGTTAAACATAATTATGGATATATATATATATATATATATATATATATATATATATATATATATATATATATATATATATATATATATATATATATATAAAGTAACAGGGGATAATAATTCTGACTTTAATATATATATTTACAGTCCTCCTCAAGTTAATAGCTGATATATTATATGAGCTTAGAATAATAATGAACCTAAAATCTAGATTCTGTTGTAATTTACCCACTTTTAGCTTCTTCTAAATTTGTTAGAGATTAATTCTAATATTAAACACAAAAGAAGATATTTTGAAAACGGTTTAACCGGTGGACACCCATAGTATTTTACTCTTACTATGGAATGCAATGGCCATCTGTTTGCAGCATTCTTCAAAATATCTTCTTTTGTGTAACTGCTACAGTGTTGTCATAATATCTTTTTGATGTTGTTGTTTTTAGGTCTGACAGAGAGGTGGTCTTGTGTCAGCGAGAGAGACCTCTCCCAGCACCTAGACAACAGCGGAACCTACGAACGGCTGGGCTGAACCATGCATATGAGCATGCTTGAAAACACCATGCCATGCCAGGCTCTGCTTTTGATCCATATGTTGCATTGCATTTCTGTTCATGATTTATGCTGTGGGTCAAATTGAATTTGATTCAAAATAATTTACCAAAAATCACATTTTTGGACAAAAAATCTGGTAAAATCACGCAGCCTCATTCACCAAGCATGCATAATCACTTTTTTTTCATGATCAAAATATGATTTAGCAAAAGTTTTCTGAAGTTTTTCTGAAAAACAATGGATATATATGAGTATGTACTGCTGGCTAATGAGAGGTCAGAAAGAGGTGTAGATGTTAAACAATTTTTAATCTACTGGTATTGGATTTGAGATTGACGCACTGTTTGAGGATCTGGCAAGATTGTGTCTGTAGAGAGCGGTGTATGTTTGAGGAAGCGAGGAAAGGCTGTAAATGACATTCTGAGCGGAAAGCCCTTATTTGAAGATGGTTTGGGTGTGTTTTTTTGCAAATGACTAACCTTGTCAACATGGCAAATACTCCATCACCATTAGAACCATAAAAACAAATTTGCTCATACAGGTGTGTTGTGCATTAGGTAGATTGTTTTTGGGAAAAGTTCTGATGTTCTCCAGAAACAAAATAATCCAGACTACTAGTAATGAATGAGACACAGTAAATCTGGAATAGCAATATTCCTCACACATTACAACATAAAAACATAGGATCATATGAAACTGTACTTACCATAGTTTACTCTTTTTCCAAAAATATTAAATAAAAATTATTGTAATGATATATATATATATATATATATATATATATATATATATATATATATATATATTTGTGTTATTATGTGCTTTAGCAGCAGAGCATTGTTCTCTAGCGACATCAAATTATTTAGGACAGAATGAACCACAATAAAAAAAAAATAGAAAAAATTGTCAATATGCAGGTTCATTCATGGTCCTGAATGAGAGATTGTCACAAGATTTGTAAAACAAAAACAAAAGAAAATTGTATTAGCCAGTACTTCCTAAAATGCTATAATTATGATATACATTACCGGTCAAAGGTTTGAGTTTTTTTTTAAAAATGTTTAAAAAAAAAATGTTATTCTGTTCATCAAAGCGGCATTTATTAAATGTAATAATATATATATATATATATATATATATATATATATATATATATACATACACACACACACACACACACACACACACAGTTGAAGTCAGAATTATTAGCCCTCCTAAATTATTACAACCCCTGTTTGTTTTTCCCTCAATTTCTTTTTAATGGAAGATTTGGAGAAGATTTTTTCAACACATTTCTAAAAATAATAGTTTTAATAACTCATTTCTAATATCTGATTTATTTTATCTTTGCCATGATGACAGTAAATAATATTTTACTAAACATTTTTAAAGCTTTTGTGGCATTTAAGGGCTTAACTAGGTTAAGTACTATATATATATATATATATATATATATATATATATATATATATATATATATATATATATATATATATATATATATATATATTTTAAATAACTGCTTTCTCATTGTATGCTGTTTCAAATGAAAGTGTAACTCCAGTCATTGTTGCTTTTATTACTATTAATAATAATATTGTTTAATATTAGTGTGATTTCTGAAGGATTGGCTCTGAAGACTGAAGTAATGAAGCTGAAAATTAATCTTTAAAATCAATGCAATAAATGATTAAATTAAGTTATAAACTGCTTTTGAACAGTTATTATGTAGTGCATTACAATTTCACAATCTGTACTGTATTTTTGATAAATAAATGCAGCCTTGGTGAGCAGGAGAATCTTATTTTAAAACATTTTAAAATCTTACTGACTCTAAACTTTTGACCGGTAGTGTAAGGATTATTTGTTCTTGCTTGATGCTATCAAAAGACATGCACTTTGAAGATTTGCTGTACAGCTTGTAATAAATGTGATGGTTACTGTACCCTAAAAACAAATTGTGTATATTTAGCAAAATATGATTTATCGTTTAAATACGTTCACCACTGTACTTTATGAATAACAATACTGTTAATATTTTTTATCTGAATAAATAAATCAATAAAAAGTGAACACGTGTCAGCATGTGTGTGTTTCTCCACATTTGCACTTAATAAGCAGATATAAACTGGTGCAGCTGGGGCTCTTTTAGTTCACAGGTGTCCATGATGTACAGATGTTCACAGACTACAAAACAAACCAACCAAATGTTTCTTTGTGCCTTTTACCAGAGCAGATTTATGAAAAAAATACAGATGATGCTAAATGGCACAGTATAATGCTATTAAAGACAAAGGCATTTACATGCAAAGCTCGCTGATGCAAACGGAAACCTGTGATTATACATTAATGACGTTAATATTAATCAACTGTCAAAGTTAAAACAGGTATACGATGTGAGAGACACATGAAGAGAGCTGCGCAGTTTCCTGCTCTCTCTCTCTCTCTCTCTCTCTCTCTCTCTCTCTCTCTCTCTCTCTCTCTCTCTCTCTCTCTCTCTCTCTCTCTCTCTCTCTATGTTTGACGAAGTGTGTCTGACAGAAAATGTCAGTGTAGCTGAGAGACCCTAAACAGTAGACACACACACACCTCTACATAACTGTAAGTATTGCTCTCTTTTTCTGTCATGATGACAAACACTAACTACTGCTCTTTTCGGTACCTGCTAGTCCGCATATCTGTTTTTCTAAAGGTAGAAGTGTTCTTCAGATAATATCTGACACAAACTAAACGACAGTGCTGATAGTTTGTATTGTTCGTTTTTATGTTTCCAAGCAGCTTGTTTCGATCCATAAAGCCGCATTGCCATGTAAATAGGCCTGTACCATTTTATTAGTGTAACGTACTCTAAGCATGAAGGCAAATGTTTTGGTCAAACGTTTCAGATAACGATGTACTAAGTTGTTATCTGTGATCAGAGTACTGAATGAACAGAGGTTTAATATCTGATGATAACAAGAATAACCATTTGAAAATACATTTTAAATTGCACTGGAACACAATTTATTTTCATATAAACATTTAGTTTATCTTACTGCACGACATTATCCTGAATGATTGTGTTTCTCAGTATGCATTTGCACAATTCATTTTTATTTGTATTGTTGTAGACAAGAAAAATTGAACAATTTTAAATCAATATTCACCTTAATGTACAGACATACATAAGCAGCATTTATGAGTTGTCTTACCTTTAAGTCTTCACTTTTTAATTTGGTCTGTTTTGTAGGCCAAGGCCTCAGTGCGCACTGTTAATTGGACATTTAAGTTGTTTGCAGACAAACACTTGCAAACTAGTTGAAGATTAAGTCAAAGACTTTAAGTATTGTTCAATTTTTGTGTATTTTGGATTTTAGGTCCAACGGTTCAAAACTGTCAATAGCCTTTTCGTGATATGTAAAATGTTCATACGATTACACTGAGCAGTCAAATTGTTACGCACATGTAACATGTAAATCAATTTGAGATATCAATTAAAAGTAAATAACATTAAACACATTCACAACTTTTGATTATATTTATCCATAAATTGGTATCCTTTTCATGTTTACGTCGCTAATATAGAGGTCAATTTTTGCATCTACATTGAGTTTTATACGCAGAAAACCATTACATGAAAGTAAACATACAAAGTTTTATTAGATTTTAAATTATATTTAACATTTTTAAAACCATGCTGACAAATGTAATAAACCTCGTATAGTTTAAAGGATAATGGGAAAGTATAAAGGTTAAAATGACAATTAATCAGTGTTTTGAACCTTTTAGGAGACTTCTAATTTGTCTCACATTTTTCTTGTCTCTGTAATCTATTGTTATACTGAAAGACATTTTAATTGACATCTTAGTTACTTTAAAAGAAATTTCTCAATATAGTACAACATACAAAAATAGATGTCAAAACTCAAATAATTTTAATTTTAATATATATATATATATATATATATATATATAATATATATATATATATATATATATATATATATATATATATATATATATATATATATATATATATATAAAATGTCAGGGTCTGTACACTTTTAAGATGCCGATCTTTCTGTTATTAATTTACTGTCTGTGCAGGAAACAATGACTGTGAAGGGCTTTAGAATTTTATTTAATAGACATCATCCTCCTTCTCCTCCTCCCAGCTTTACTAAAGAAAATCTCTCCATATTAAATGCACATCAGTACTAGTTAATTCCATATTAATTCTTTATTAGAATATGTCCTATACAGTCTTCACAAAAAATTACTCGTAATATTAAATGCCTTTTCTAGATGCAAAATATCTACATTTGAAATATCTACTAAAGAGGCTTCTGCAAACCAAATGCTGATTTCTGTTGCTCAAAAATGGTGCTAGCGAGAGCAATGTTTTAGGTTTAATGCTCAGCCGATAAACAAACCTGAATAAATGTGATTAATGCAAGTTGTTTCCCAGAGATGGGTTGCGGCTGGAAGGGCATCCGCTGCGTAAAAACTTGCTGGATAAGTTGGTGGTTCATTCTGCTGTGGCGACCTAGGATTAATACCGGGACTAAGCCGACAAGAAAATGAATGAATGAATAATGCAAGTTGCTTTTGACAAGCGTCTTTTGACAAGCGTCTGCCAAATGTAACATTAAAAGCTGAAGTTAAGATGTTTTTGGGGTTATGTTTTTAAAGCAGTTCCTCTTAGTTTCACACAGGTGTCCAACCAGTAACCACAAGTTAAGCTCATTTCATCACTCAACACTATCTATCTATCTATCTATCTATCTATCTATCTATCTATCTATCTATCTATCTATCTATCTATCTATCTATCTATCTATCTATCTATCTATCTATCTATCTATCTATCTATCTATCTATCTATCTATCTATCTATCTATCTATCTATCCATCCATCCATCCATCCATCCATCCATCCATCCATCCATCCATCCATCCATCCATCCATCCATCCATCCATCCATCCATCCATCCATCCATCCATCCATCCATCCATCCATCCATCCATCCATCCATCCATCCATCCATCCCTAAAAATAGCTTTTAGCTTGAAAATGTCAGTAAACACCATAAGCACGTTTCTGGCTTAGAAAAATCACAAACGAAACATGCAAGTGATGATGGGTCTTGCTATTTTTAAAAAATTTTACTCTTCAACTTACTGTTGTAACAGAGTGCATCCTTTTAGGTTTTTTTTTTTTATTGATCTTCATGTCAGGCTAATTATAAGTTGAAAATATGATTCCAAGATGACGGATCAGAAATACACTAGACTTATGCAATGGTAAACTTCTCCTGCATTAGAAAAAAGCATCAGATTTGGTATTTTTTGTCCTGACACAAACCACAGTCTGAGAATAATTACATTTATATGCAAATAATCTGAAACATCATGTGAAAATCTGACCCATCAACATTTTGATCTCAGATTCAGCTTACGTTGATCAGAGAAAAATCTTGAAGATACTATTAAGGTCTATTTTATTTGTCATTTATATGTTAAACATATTTTAAAGTGAGGTTGTTACAGTTTAATTACACATGTAATAA